AGCAAAAACATGCTTATGACTTTTTATGTGCAGACGGCTTGCCCCCGCCTCTGTTGGAAGCCTTCACTACCATCTAGCACTGCTCTCAAGAAAAAAGAAACAGCTATCAATTACTTAGTAACTTCGCTTACCTACATCTTGCCGATGAAGGAACCTTATGGCAACACACCATTGCGTTGAGCTTTGCTTATCTTTGCGAAATACAGAATCTACCTGAAACCTTCTACTGAAGCCTTAAGCTAAGTATTCATCCTCATCAAAAGATATCTTGTCACATCAACTTAAAAAAAAGGCCTTTCGTAAGACGTCTATGGACGTGGATACGAACCTAAACATTCTCTCGGGAACGTCGCTAACTCAACATTTATTACTTTGAAGACAAATAAGAAGGGAAATTTCTTAGAAATGATAAATAGACCATTCAACACTCAATGAATTACCTCACCGTTTTAACACAAGTTAGCGCCGCTCCACTCCAGTGAACCCGCCGTGGAAAGAATTCAACAAAAATGGAGTTTGCACGACCCTTTCTTTAGCGATTGATTTTAACAAAAAACAAATATACTTGGCTCGGCTGACCAAGATGATCTACCAAATCATTTAAAACTTCGAAAAAAAACAGCCATGGAAGCAACCAATAAAATACTGCCAAACAAACACCAACATAATAACAAAAAAAACAGAGAATTGCCATAGAATTCAGTTGAGAAACGAGCACAGCAATGGGTATTTAGAACAGCGTGACTTTTCCAAAGCTTCATGCACTATCCTCATCCGCACTGTCTCCTTGATCCTTCTTTTTTCCTCCTTCTGCATTTTCCCTGGCTTTCTTTCGCTCGCTCGCTAGACGGAGCGCATCTTCGACGTCCATTTGCTGATCTAGACCTTTCGGTGCCACCAAACCATCCTGGAACTTCCGTTCATAATCCTCACTTATTAGTAAAACCTAGACAGCTTGAACTGTGAATTTCATAGGCTAGGTAGGTAGGTATAAGAAAAGGATGTGAGATTTAATAGCCGAATGGTGTACCCGCCGTCTGTCTGAGAGAACATTTGTAAGAGTAATATTTGAATTATCAATGGATAATTACGGTAGCTACAGCAAAATCGCTTGCGCTTGCGACAGTGTGTATCCCGGCGCCGGGTCGCCAACCGAAGAAAGTTTGACCGTCACTCCGCGGATGGGTCTCAACCCCCGATAAAAAGGATTAGCACGGTTATTTGGTATCAGACTTATATGAGTGGGGAACCTTGATAACTTCTCGTTGCGAGTCTCAACCCATCGACGTTCCACGAAGTTTATGACCCTCAAGAACATATCTCCAATAGAAATACCTGGCCCTAAGAAATGGCAGACTAACAATATGACACAGACGAATGATATTAAATGCCAGTTGGTGCCAAAAAGAAGTCTGTTCCAAGCAGATCACTTTGATTAATAATGCTCGAGAAAAGTAATGTACAGCAGACTTACGTCATCCTCATCTCCACTTTCTTCCTCGTCCTCATCAGAACCTTCCTCCTCTTCAAGCTCAGCCAACTCTAACTTCTTCTTGATGTCATTATCATCAACGTCAGTAACAACGCGAGCCTTAAAATGACAAATGAGCATCGAACGTGAAACTAACAGAATTTATTCAGTTCTTTTCCTCACCTCCTCCTTGATTGAAAACTTTCCTCCGTATTTTTCTATAGTCTGCCTAACAACATCAAGAGCGGCATTGACAGCAGTGAGCCCATGTTCCCTGTCAAGAGTCTGCGTCGTGACGACAAAGTGTGGAGCAGCAATGAGATTGATCTGAATGGTGGGGGTTTCGAAGAAATAGGACTTAATATTAACAAAGGACACATTACTTACAAAAGTTCCACTTCGGGTAGGAAGGTCCTTAAAACTTATAAAATTTGAAGGAAAATTATGCTTTTACCTTAATTGGCATCGAATCTGTTGAGCAATTTTTCCCAGCAATCAAAGCTTCTTTGATCGCGTCAATACCGTCATATGAGAAACACGACACCTCGATGTCTGCTCTAATCTGTAATACAGAGATCAAGTATTTCTAGTTAGGTAGGTACAATAACAGTCGAGAACACTCCTACGGGAAATATAAACTGGCGATAAAAACTAATCAGGATTGAGCTCACCTTGACTGCTTGAGGGGTGAGTTTCTTCCTGATGTCTTCCAAAAGCGCTTCCCTTACTTCAGGAGAAATGTCACATTCGTCCAATACATGAGGCTCTCTAACATAAAAGAACTCTTTTTTTTGTACGTGAACAACCAATTCTAACTACTCCTTTACAGCTGGTGCAAAGGACAGTGAGAAACAAAAACTAGTAATCCACGTTGTTGCTACCGTCATGCCAGAGAACAAGCATTACGTAATCAAGCGAAAAAAAAAACAAGAAATAGACGGATTCATGTCATAACAAACTTCCATATTGGAATCGAATAACGAAATGTCAAAAAACATACGCAATTGCTCTCTTGAAAACATCATAAGCGGCAGCTTTCTTTTTCTCTTTCCTATCAAAATGCCAGGCTGTCCTCATGTATAGATCCTTAAGAACTCATGATAAATTAACAGTGTGGAGCCACCACAGAACTATAGCTGCAGACCAACAAATGGAAAAAATATGGAAGTAATCACAATCCTGTGGACCAAAATGTCCCAATCAAAGATACTAAACCTACCTCCAACTGCTCGTCTTTGTCATACCCAAGTTGTTCAGCAACATGTCGTAAAATACTAAAATATGGAAATTGGTGAAATCCCTGACGAATGTAACTGCTATTCATGCATAGCTTCAAATAAGTATATCCGGAAACTCATTCACATACGAGAGTCCTTACTCGCATCTTATTGGCAGTACAGGGCAGTAATGACAATATAAATGCGAAATAGAATCAAGAATCAATCATCACCTATTGATCGCTTTTGCTTTTGCAAACCGCTCTTCACACAGTATCAAATCCTTGGAATACACACGCCTCTTTGACAAATCGATATATCCTACAAGCAAAAAATGATGACATAGTAAAAAGGAAGCGGAAAGGATCACACACCTTTTTCCTTGTCTACCCTAATAACGACTACGCATTCACTGCGGCCCACTCGAATCAATTTGTTAACTGATCGGATACGTCGACGAGACAGTTCGGACAGCAGGATCATACCTTCTGGAAAAATAAAAAATAACATATAAGAGGATCACCTTAATGAAGGAGAGGAACCAGAAAACTTAATTATACAAACTCAAGCCCCAACGCCTTTTCCGTTTTGTTAAAAGAATTGTGTTCATTGATAAAATTCAATACATCACTTGAGATAGCCTAGAAATTTGAACGGGAAGCGGCCTACTGAAGTGCTTTTCCACTCCTCCTTTCAAAATGTCCCGTACAGAAACATGCCTCGCTGCCCGTTTCTCACTCTCCTTCAACACTTCTTCTTACGGTTTTCACACACCCTTGACACGCCCTGTGACAAGCTAAGTAGCATCTCGAGTGATAGCTGGAGAGTTACTTTTAAACCCATCCTGACTTGTATTGCCAAAAAACTGAGAACAAGCCTCTAATAAAGCAACAAGCAAACAAAAAGAAAAAGCAGATACCTACCTTTCCCATTATATTCAGAAAGGCTCACATAAGCACCCATATCAGCTATTTGCCGAACATTTACCACTACTGTCTCCTCGATATCAGGAAAATGATTTTCGTAGAACCGACAACGCATAGTTCCCATGTTGCCTGGAAAGTACAAAGATACCTACTGATCAAGACTACATATGCGGGAAGGACCTGATCGTAAAGTGTCAACAAACAATATTCCATCGGGACTTTTAGGGGTATCCGTAAGCCGTTGATCACACAAACACAAACAAAGACATCCCTGGTAAACAAGGAACAAAAAATGTCAACAAACTCACTACCACTACTGATTTACATATTCTATTTCTGATATTCCTTAGGTAAACGTCCAGCCATTGACAAGGGGTATACCTCTAGATAACTATGTTACTATGTGGGAATGGAATAAATTGTTACTATGTAGGAATGGAATAAATTGCGGAAAGTCTCACAACTCCAAAAGATTCAGGGTGATCACAACGGAATAGCAATGTCGATGCCTAGATTGATCATTTACAAACCGGTAGCTTACTTAGTACATGGCCAGACCAGGTAATCATGAAAGGCTGCTTACCAAAATCAAACCAAAACTTTCAGGCTTCCCAGCACTAATCACATTCAAGTTCAAGAAAGAAGTTTCAGGGCAATGACTTTTATACTCTACCACTGCTTGGGAACCCCTATTTCTCTTTGGAAAGATTAAACACTACAAGACAGCGAAAAGCAAAATACTTGTCTTCCAGAAGGGTCTAAATCAAATAGGTTTACAAGCAGCTCATTCAGTTAGTCTCTTTCTACTTAAAAAGTCAAGAGTACACAAACTTTCTTACTCTATTGTCCACTTTGGGTGGACTTTAAAATCTATCACAATGAAAAGAAAAACTAAGGAAAATATGACTTTCATGTCGAAGATTCACATATAGATGGAACGCCACCATATGAGTAGTTCTAGAAAACGTCAAAATTAAAATTTTATTCTAACAAATATTCTAACGTGAAATATTAAACAACAACGTGTAGCCTAACTATCCTATCAACTTTTCAGTAACGAATTTTACAAGTGAGATACATAACAAGTAGGACGCGTAAACAAAAGGACAGTCAAGGTAATGAATAGACTGAATAGGAAAGTATTACATATCAGCATTACAAATTTCGAAAATAAACAAGCTCTACTAAAACGGGGGCGTGATTAATGTTGTGGCAGGTTGAGCAGCACGTTTTGATTGCCTGGCAAATACGTGACATTCTTGGCCTTAGACATTCGTTCGGCTATTTCTTCAGCGGCTTCGATCTTTCTTAATTCTATCAAACCATCACCAGCATCAGCAAAGGCCTGAATGACGGAAAGATTATCAAGCTCAGTACACATTTTACAGAAAATATGAAAAATTGGTTACCTTGCTGAGTAGTTTAGCTGCTTGCGCATCACCTTCAGCCGTAGTAATAGCAGCGATTTTCATCTGCTCTGCCTTTTCTACAAGATAACGAGCTTTCTCAGCTTCCTGTTGTGCTACTTGCTTCATTTCGACGGCCTCTGTGAATTCGCGACCGAAGGAAAGGTGAGTCTAAAGAGATTATACAGATAAATGGGGAGCAAAAACGAACAATCATTTCAGAGATGACTGCAAAATCTGAAGAATACCCTCAAACTGATAAATGTTGAAGGACACCGTTGAACTCAATTTTTTCCAAAATGTTCACGGTCTAGGGCCAGGAAATACGGAAAGGAAAAATATTCTTTACAGTTCCACCATAACTCGATATTAATCAAAGCTTATGAAGACTTACAATGGAAATATCATCTAAAAGAAGACCGAATTGTGCTGCTCGTTGAGCTAGTGCCAAAGACACGCGTTGAGAGACTGTTTCACGTTGGGTAATCATCTCGTGAGCATCAAATTGAGCCTAAGAAATCAGCTTCAGCCAAAAAAGCTACAACCAAAGGTTGAATTCCTGTTCGAAATGAAGTAACAGAAAAAACTTACCACAACCGCCTTCAAAACCTCATTCGTAATAGATGGAAGCACCCTTTCTGCGTAATCCAAGCCGATATTGAGGTAGATGTTAGGCAGTTTGCTCGGATCTGGTCGATGAAGTATACGCAGTGTTATAGAGACGTTTTGAAGATCTGAAAATCAAAACGATTAAAAACAGCAACTTTCAGAATGCAACGTGACTTCTAAGCGAATGAATTCATTGATGTGAAAGATATTTGATTAATACAAATACTGAAGTACCTTTGCTTCCCGTGATTGTAGAAATCGCTCTCGGAGTCGATCGAATATCGAACAAAATTGGCTTCTGCAACCAAGGGACAAGAAAGTGAGTGCCTTCTCCAATCACCTCGTCCTTTACTCCGGCAAATCGATCGAAAATTACTGCTCTTTGACCACCGTCCACTGAAAAAAACGCAATTCTTTTGATACCAAATATTCATTCATTAAAGGCAAATGGACTACTAGTACGCTTTCACTTGGGGTTGTTAACACTTTCTCAAATTTGAAAGTAAACCGGAGCTAAGGGCGAATTTCGATCAATGGGAATTACGAGCCATTTATAATAAATAAACTGACAATGAGATATATTAATCACGTATATGCGATAAATGCACACATTTGTTACCAGTCTTTGGTGTAATCCTTACAGAGTGGCTTCTTTTCACAAATAGAAGCGCTTGGCCAAAGGAAAAGCTCTCATATTCTACGTAACTAATGGGAAACGCTGAGGCCACTATATTGATTCATAACTGTGAAAAAGCCACACCCGAAATAAAGGGATTTGTAAAAATCACGAACTATTAGATCCAGGTGATATCACGTAAATCAAGGATTCGACACTTAAAGGCACCGGTTACGATAAATTTAGGGTACCCTTTTTTGACGGGAATTCATAGAACTACTCTAGAATAAAGCGATAACAACGAAAAAAAGCGCAAAAAACGATGAACAAAAAGAAATAGAAAGGGTCAAAAAAGAGCTGGAAAGGGGGGTTGGACGAGTTTCACATTGGAAGAACGGGGTTAGGGAGTGTTCGGGCGAGTGCACGAAGGCGACGCAATGTCTGCTATAGCAGTCAACACACCCAAGCAGACAACTTCGCTCCAATGCGTATGTGGTGAGGGACAATTAGAACTCGTAGTCAGCCTAGCGAGGGGCGGAGGCCTCCCGTCCCCCACTGTTCCTGCCTTTATTGTGCCCTATCCAGACCGTTTTCCGACCTCATTCCTGCACAAATGGTATCAGAGGGGGCGTCGAATTCAAACCATGTGCAGATNGGGCGAGTGCACGAAGGCGACGCAATGTCTGCTATAGCAGTCAACACACCCAAGCAGACAACTTCGCTCCAATGCGTATGTGGTGAGGGACAATTAGAACTCGTAGTCAGCCTAGCGAGGGGCGGAGGCCTCCCGTCCCCCACTGTTCCTGCCTTTATTGTGCCCTATCCAGACCGTTTTCCGACCTCATTCCTGCACAAATGGTATCAGAGGGGGCGTCGAATTCAAACCATGTGCAGATTTCCGAAACCATTTTTTCGTGAACAGTGCCTTTAACTTACCATTATAAAGAGCTGATTGGGCCACACCACCAGCTATAGCGAGGCCCACGCCGATACTACCCAGTCTGCCGAGCATCTTCTGTACTGCCGCCATCCTGAATTTCCCTATCATTTTATTCAATTCATAACCATTTTGAGTAGACGTAAAACTCGAGTTTTCATTTCCATGAGAAGGGAAGTGAATCCACGGCGAGAAGAAAGTAAAGGATGAGGAGTCAAAAGAAATACTAGTAAGAGCAAAAGGAAGGTTCAGTAAAGTATAAAAACGAGATGATGGCTCTGAGGGTTTCTTCAATTTAGAGCTAACTGAGGGTAAGTCGAGTCCAAGCTCAAGGGAGCAGCTTTTTCAGAACAGCTTCAGGGACTCAACACTATCGATAAGAGAAACTGAATAGAAATCTGTGTCAGAAATTTCGGCATGAGAGTCCTAGAAGTCAACAGAGAAGAGCAGAACATTCTCCGCTATCGACTATGGAAAACAATGGATGTTAACGAACAAAATGAGAAGTTATAAGGAAACGAAACTGACGAAAACGTAGTTAAACACAGTCGCTATTCTAACCTTCCCTACATCCTTAAAGCTTGAAGGAAGTATCTGGACTCCCAAATTCCGTCAAGGTTTACAAAGAGAGATCATTTTTGGAATTGATTGGCAGGGAAAATGCGGTTATGCAAGTTTAATGGCTGTTGAACACAAACGATGTGATGCAATAGAAAAAGCGACAAGTGAGCCAGTCAAAAGAACGTCACCATTTACTATTCGAATTCTCCTGATACAATGGAAATTTTGGACGAAAACTTATCTCTAGAGAACAACATTCAATGGCTAGATACAACAGTATTTCTGCTCATTTCTGGATGTTACCACATATTTGTAGCAGAATCGTTGCTTTACAAAAGAGACGCACCCACTCAACGATATTCATGATAAAACTCAAAGGACCAACGAGTCAACGAATGGCAAAACTTAACAGCTTCAAAAAAGTGGAAAAAAATCTGGGGCATAAACAAAGTCACTTGCTTGAGAAATCAAAGCTACGTTTGCTCGCTATTGGAGCTAGATACACTAGATACATTTATACTATTCTTAAATGGACAGGTAAACCATCTAAACAGCTACGGATCTATTTAATTAAAACATTTAAAACTTTACTGCTTTCATCATGCAAAAAAACCTTCACTAATGGGGAAGATGGTCCCGTATCGAATTGAATCTAAAGGGCGCAATTCGTAGAGATGGGCAGCCTCTCAGCCCACCTGCAATGTTTGTGCGCACTAAAGCACATAAAATGGGCTGCCACGAAGCAACTTTTTCTCTGCGTCTCTTCATACCCGCGGAATTGCAATCGCCACCTAAATTCTAACAGTTTTTATTTCATTTGAACGGTTCAAAGTGTTTTCGATGCTTATGTGGAGTATTTTGCTCGAGCTTAGAATTCTAAAAACGTGTTAGGGAGGTCATTGCTGTCCTACCTGCCCCTTACTGATCTGGGTAATTTTATGGTGATGTGGTGTGATTCGTGAATTCAGAGTTCAGGGTTTGTATCTTCTGGATTCTGCTGTTTTCAGCAACCTTTTCGAATTAATTCTCCTTTTTCATGTAACTAGAATTTTCGTTGGAAGCCGGGCTACGTTATTGAATCGTTGTGTCACGTATTTCACGGTTACACCTATCACGAAATTTTAAAAGCGTTTTAAGGGTATGGCCCACGCCAAGAGAAAGACTCGAAAGCTCAGGGGTCACGTGTCACATGGACACGGTCGTATTGGGAAGCATAGAAAGCATCCCGGTGGTCGCGGTAAAGCTGGAGGTCAACACCATCACCGAATCAACCGTGATAAGTTCCATCCTGGTCTTTTCGGAAAGGTTAGTTTTGATTTACTGGTACACTCTTTTGCAAATGAAGAGTATGGATCTACTACTGAGTAATAGTATCGAAATTGAAAATGTCAGAGTAATGGTGAATGGGTGAGGAACGCTTTTTGCCCCATAGAGATCGTTGTATAGATGTCTTTAGGATTATTTTCGACTTGAATCGGGTGCTTTAGGTTGGTATGCGAGTGTTCCATTTGAACAAAAATCACTACTACTGCCCCACTGTCAACGTTGATCGGCTGTGGTCGCTTGTTCCAGATCAGATAAAAGAAAAGGCCACTCCCGCTAAAGCTCCTGTCATCGATTGTGTAAAGGCTGGCTATTTCAAGGTAAATTTAAAGAGTTTTTTCATGTGCCATCATCCTTCCTTCTTGGCGCTCCTACTTCAATCCGAGTAGTAGTGTATGTAATGGGAGGTAGATCATGCCCTTTGGGTATTCGGGTCTCCTTCGGTGCTATTCTTACAAAACTTTGAATAGTATCATCCTCTGGATTCGAGACATCGCATCTTCAACTATTTTTCGTTTTTTCAAACGTTCAAACATTACACCTGCATCTTTTCAAGTGTATTCTCGGCGATATAAAAGTTTTGGTTTGTAGGTTCTTGGAAAAGGTCTGCTACCGAAACAACCACTGATCGTGAAGGCCAAGTACTTCTCTCATGAAGCTGAAGACAAGATCAAAGCAGCAGGAGGAGCTTGTATTTTGGTGGCATAAGCTGCCGTTGTTGATTTTGTATTTTTTAAACAAAGTCATTTTAAAGTTTGTGTCTTTGTTCTTCATTGTGTTGAGAAGGTGCCTTACCTTGCCCATATTTCGTTTATTTATCTTTCTTTTTGATATTTCTTTGAGTAGATTTTCGTTTTAATTTCCTTGTGGATAATGCTGTGTGTTTCATAGAGACTCGCAGCTTTTTTATTTCAGCCTCTGAGCGCTTGTCCTCTGTGGAGCTAAGGCATTTGCAACTTGCACTCGGAATGGCTTTAAATCAGGAAATGGCTTGCGTTTACGCTGCTCTCATCCTTCAGNGAACCTTCCTTCTTGGCGCTCCTATTGTTTTGAAGATAGAAGTGTATGTTATGGAAGGGAAATAATATCCCTTATGGGTGTTCGGATCTCCTTCGGTGCCGTTTAAAATTTCTTATCGAACGGTATCATCCTCTGGATTCGAGACATTGCTGTAACATTCCTTTTATGCAGCTAGAAGTCCTCAAATGTTGCCTACTTTTCAGAACCTCATCACGTCGGTGTCTTCTGGAGTTGGTTCTGGAGGTGGAGCTGCAGCACCCGCCGGAGGCGCTCCAGCTGCCGCTGCCCCTGCTGCAGCTGCTCCAGCAGCCGAGACAAAGAAGAAGGAAGAGCCCAAGGAGGAGTCCGACGACGACATGGGATTCGGCCTTTTCGATTGAGTCTGTTGTTGGTTGTTATTGATAAATTTGTTGTTTTCCAATGGTTTTTAGATATACATCAATCTGAAATTGAATTCATTTATTGGTAATTTATTTATTGGCAAAAAGAAAAATACCCGTATAATTGCTTGACAGAGATATGGAATTATTTTACAAATAGATATTATGATCACAGTACTTCAAGCTCAACTTCCTCCTTTCGGTTGAGCTTCATTTCTTCATTTCTCCTCCGTAGACCTTCCTGAATTCTTCGCATCCTTCTCAGATGCTTCTCTATACCTAAAGTCAGTAGTGTACTGTAGTGATGTAATGAATAGAGGGATGACTGGAAAGAAAAGATACCGGCAGCTTCTGGAGCTACTGTATACATTCCTTTGGATCCTTCAACGGTGAAGATGTCAAGGTTCCGAGGAGCAGGCATAGGCTGTAGGTCACCTGAAATCTGAGGGATTTTTGATTTGATGCTTGTCCTCGAAGATGTTGAACCAGCTCTCACCGTTTAGTGGTGCTACTTGGTTACGAGCTGGTTTTGGCAGTGGTTGAGGTAATTGAGCAGGAGCCGGGACGAACACTTCGGAAGACATGTGGGATACGGACGGATGAGGTGAATCAGCTACCTGTAAAAAACACTTGTATCAGGGGACAGCTCAAAAAAGCCTTATTGGGCGTGACTAGAAATCGGTGATGGCAGCGCTGCAAATCGACTTGGAAGTTTGATGAGCCTAGCTTACTTGAGATTGGTGGGTTCGCAGGTTCAACCAGTGATGGTCTAGCCAGGGCTGATTACGCCAATACTTGCGTAACCAGTACTTCAAGGTGAAGTTTAGGTTAGCTTACCGGCGACTGGGTGTCTGATACAGACGGCGGCTCGGATGTTGGAGTTTTCTGTCTTGATTCTGGCACATTTTCCTCTTCTTCATCAACATTTGACAATTGTGGAAGTTCTTCTGCGGCGACTGTGATCAGGGTATCCCGACGAATGTCACCGTTACCAGTTATCGATCTTCTGTATTGAGCTTTTACTATAAAAGTCGTGCTCAAATGACAAGACAGTCGAGACTTACCGATCAAGAGCTGCTATTTCACTGTTCACTCGTTCCTGTTCTTGTCGCATAAGTCGAAGTCGTCGTTCGTCGCGTTCTGCTTGTTGCCGTATTTTTAGCTCCATTTCGGCCGTACGGACGCCTTCCGATAGGAACACATAGTGTTCGATGATCTGTAATATATTCGAACAGATTGCACTGTATCACTCTAGCTCGCGAGAGGACGACCGGAAATTTAACTAGCGCCCACCCAAGGAAATCGATAATCAACGGGACGACAAGCGATACGATACATATTCTAATTAATTCCTACTCGAACCACGATGGTTCCATTAGCACACGTTACAAGAAGCGAATGACCCTGAGCAACTGCGAAACTGGCTAGTTATAATTATGATCTTAGAAATGGTCCATGGCCGTTTTCCAATCGATACATCAACCGCCAGAGCTCCTCATTAATTCAAAGTAAGTATGGGTGTTCCAATATTGTTATTCACTGTTGTCCAGCACTTATTTTGACCCATTTCATCCAGTAAAATCCATTTGTGTGCT